GCGTCTATGTGTCTGGCAAACTCAAAAACCAATCCATCTGTGAGGTTTCAATATGCAGCTATCCCCACTCAGCGCGTCTATGTGTCTGGCAAAAACCAATGCATCTGTGAGGTTTCAGTATGCAGCTATCCTCACTCAACACGTCTAGGTGTCTCGCAATCTCCAATACAAATAACCTGTGAGGTTCAATATGTGTCTATCCTCATTCAACGCGTCTATGTGTCCGGCACTCCAACATCACTCAACCCGTGGGGTTCCAGCAGCTATCCCCACGCAACCCGTCTATGTGTCTGGCAATCTCAAACCTCCCCTTTCCGTGGGGTTTCAGTATACAGCTATAATCACTCAACACGTCTATGTGTCCGGCAATCTCCTACATCACTCAACATGTGAGGTTTCCGTAAGCAATCCTCACTCCACGCATCCATGCGTCACGCGTCTTTGGTANGGGGGGGGGGGGGGGGGGGGGGGGGGGGGGGGGGGGGGGGGGGGGGGGGGGGGGGGGGGGGCAAGGAATTGGCGTAGTAGCGAGCAGAGTTGGGGGATGTGTGCTTGGTTATGAATTCATGTTGTTGTGTCGTTTCGCGATGGTCGGTGGACCCTGGCGTCCTTAGCAAGCCCGGACGGACGCACGCGGTGGTTGTCGGCCGAATAGGCCATCTGCCCCGAGAAATTTCTTGGGCAAGCTTACCTAGGAGCTGGCAAGGTAAACAGCGTCAAGGACGACAAGAGACGGGGTCAGGAACAGCGGTAGTTGGTAGCGGTAGCGGGGGCGCACTGGCGCTGCGGCCGTGGTCATGCACGCTCGCCGCTGTGTAGTGCCTTTGGTTGGGCGGGACGAACTGCGTGAGGGGGGTAGGGAGCGGGGGCGGTGAGCGGTTAGGGCGTGCCCTTCACACGCCAGACGGATTGATGGCCCGGTGTCTGCCAGGAGGCTGGCACCTCGCTGCTGCGCACACCGGACGGGTGCCTCTTTCCCGTATTTCAAAGCCGGGGCCGGCGCCGCCCTCGTTCGATGTGTGCGCCGAGATGGGCCGCGCAGACGTTTTTACCTGGAGAGTTGAGTACTCAAGGCCGTAGGGTATATTTGGGACGAGGTGCCTTTTTTTTTACAATAGTTTGTCTGGATTTGGACGAACAGTCGCTTTTTGGAGTGGGTACATATTGTTGATACCTGGTCAATACCACGTCGATTCGAAGAGCAGGCAGGACAGTGTATGGTTGGATCGCCTTCCCCTTGGAAGTACTCTTGGATTTTCTCAGAGGCTGAACCGCTCTTGACAGCAGTCTCCACAACCTCCCTTGCCAGCCCCCCCCCGCGGCGTGAAAAATGGTTTTTATCTCCGTTGCCCCGCCCCAAGACTGGCGTATTTTTCGTCGCGCAGCCGGGTTTGTGCAGGTCCGTCAGTGGCCACTAAAGAATCGCTCGCATTCCACGTATGTATCACTTTTACTGCACGTTATGTATCACTTGTATTGTTTATACGTATGTATCACTTCTTCTGCCGTTTTGCAACGTTAATTTGGCAGGTATACTACAACCCTTCGGAGGTGTCTTTCGAGGAGCTGTGCGGAGTCTTCTTCGGCCGCATCAACCCCACGCAGGTTAACGGCCAGGGGGCCGACAGGGGCACCCAGTACCGAACGGGGATCTACCCCCACACCAAGGAGCAGTCTGACGTGGTGCGTGGTGTGTGCTATTTCTGCCTTGTTTGTCGCGGGGTTGGTTGTCTTGCAAGCCGTTAATCTTGGGCGACTTGGAGTCTCGTTGATTTTGCATCAAGAACGTCAATCCCACACCATGCCGCTGCGACTTTGAGAGTTTGCCTTCCCGCCTATCTCCGATTTGCGATGTCGCTACCGCTCGCTGGCTGGCTTGCTCTCTTTGCCTCCTTCCTTGTTTCTTGCCCACCCGGAAATCTCATGTGCTGTCGTTGTTGTTGTCGTTGTAGTTGGTGGTGGGGTTGGTGTTTGTTCGTGGCGGTGGTACTGTTGTTGGTGCTGTTGCCGGTTGAGTTGGTGCTTTGGGTGGAGCTGGTCAAGCGACAGAGGCCAGGTGCAGGACAAAGTCGTTAGTTGTCGTCGTGGTTTTGTCTCCTTGTCTTCTCATCTTTATTCGCGTTGCGCGCCTCCTCCACTTCACAGGCGCTGAAGGTGATGGATGAGTTGCGGGGCAACTACAAGCAGCCGATCGCTACTGAGATCGAGGGCGCCAAGGTCTACTGGCCGGCAGAGGTAAGGACAGGTTTTTATTTGTCGCTTTGTTGTATCGTTATCCTTTTTGATTGCGTCAGTGGTTTAGTGGGTTGCCTCGCCACTCTCCGTGGTTTGGACGTGAGTTCGAATCTCGGCAAACTATCTTCGACGCTTTCACACGAACCAAACGAATTTGTGGTCACATTTACGGCCTAAGGTATGTGGACAGAGGTTATTAGGCAAACGACACAACAAGGTGTTGGAACTTGGTCAAAGAGCGACTCAGCCGGGCACAAGAGTACTTGGCAGAGTCAAACGAGGTCGGCTGATTGGTCAACGTCCAATTTCAGCCCACCTTGCCCTTTGAAGCGCGGGGGTACTGCTGTATTTCCTGCCACGGCTACTGTTCTCCAGAAGCGTTGTACCCTGATTTCAGAAATGTACCTTGAGCTGACGGGAAATGGGGCCCATTCATTGACCCTTTCCTTCGCGGGAATTATTTTCCCCTCCAACCATCAGACACCAAACAGCAAGTTCCTCCCGCTCGAAATCAACCATTGCAACTGGGCAGAAATCGACCAGGATGGATTTTTCCGCCCCTGCATAGTAACACCAACCATAACGTATTGCCGCTCTTGAACAAACGATGGCTGACACACGCCAGCACAAATCCGTTGGGAAGCAACGGACACGTACGCTTGCAGCGGTATGCGAGGTACGAGTCGCGCTCAGAACGCGAGAGACGGATGGATCCAGAATGGTTGAAACGCAGATGACCCAAAGTGAAAGTCCTGTTTGTAAGGATGTGTGACGTTGCCCTCGTGGCCGCGGAGAGGCGGAAGGACGCACACACACAAACCCACATGCAAGACTGATGTCTGTTTTTTGGCTGGTTAGCGCGGTCGATTCATGCAATCAAACACACACACGCCGTCACCATCATGGAACGAGCGAGTGGCTGCTCCGGAGCTTACGTGAAAGGCTAATCAAGTTGTGTATCCCCAGTAGAAGTTGGGAAATCTCTGCTGGCGTTATGTTAACAAGCCTTCCACCCAAAAGCTCCTGCCCCGCCACTCGTTCCTTCCATCACCACGCACGCATATCTAACTGCTGTGTGTTGTCCCTCTGGTGCGTGGAAAAACAAGACACGAAATGGCGAAAAAAGAAACCGAAGCTGAGGTTAGTGGCGATTTCCGCTACCCACACATGCACCTCTATTCCCTGTTCTGGTGTGTTTGTGGAGACATGCGTTTTTTGCCGGGCATACGATAGCATCGGCCCCATGCGCATATGAGTTGCTTGGGGTGCATGCATCTCCACATGACAACACCCTCTCTCCTTCAATCCAAGTACGACCACCGTTTTCTTGTCTCCCCCCCTCCCCCCCCGCACGCTCTCTTTCTCCCAATTTGCGTTTCCCCCCCCTTTTTCAGTTGTACCACCAGCAATACCTCGCCAAGGGTGGTCGCAACGGCATGCCCCAGAGCGCGGAAAAAGGAGCCACGGAAACGATCCGCTGCTACGGCTGAATGCGGCTGACGATCGATCGAAGTTGTCTCTTTTTCTTTTTTCTCGGAAGGCCGCGGTTGACACAAGACTAAATACGCCTTTCGTTCGAAGCTGCCATCTAGAGTGTTGTGTAGAAAGGCGGTTTCTTCTTTTCGGGTGGAAACATACGCGGTATTTTTCGTACGGCAAGTATATGACTTGTCATTAATTGTTGATTTGGGATTGATTGCGTCTAGTCTAACCCTTGTTTATCTACAGAAAAGAGGTGTGGTGCCGTCCAGCTCCCCCCCCCCGCGCGCGCTTGTTGCGAATCGCCAGGGAATCTTGGAGAGAGAGAGAGACAGCAGGCAGAAACTTTCCGAGGTCTGCTGAGTCATGCAAGCCCTGGGCGGGAGGGGGAGTGACCCCGATAGATTTATTTGTGCTGACCTGTATTTCTGCTCTGTGTCGTTGATCGAGGACGGGGTTATTCTTATATCAAGCCATTTCATACCCGCCCTCGAAAACATGGTCAGGCGGTCTGTGCTGGTAAGCACTTGGCGGGCATTCTTGTCATGTGGTGACGTATGATGCAAGAGTAGCCTTTGTTGGACGGGAGCCCGGGCCGTGGGGAGGTCGGGTCTGGTGTGCATTTTTGGTTTGCACATATATATATATATATGGTGTCGAACGTCGACAACGGATAGTGAGGAATGATGTCCATGAACGTTTTGCGGTGTTTGTGCGTGTTGCACGGCAGGATGTTTCGCGGGGCGAATCAGCTGATATTTTCAACGGCTCGCTGTAAGAGCTTGTTCATTTCGGACAGAAAGCGGTTTTTTGTTGTTGTCATCTCTCATTTGCCATCGTCAAGCGAAACCGAGAGAGTTGTTTGTGCGTGTTGCACGGTAGGATGTTTCGCGGGGCGAATCAGCTGATATGTTCAACGGCTGACTGTAGGAGCTTGTTGATTTCGAAAAAGCGAAAAAAAAAAATGTTGTCATCCCTCATTTGCCATGGTCAAGCGAAACCGAGAGATTCTCCTGTCAGCTGTACAATACTGCTGTCACGAACCCCCACCGCGTCGGCCGATAAATTGCTTCGCCGCAAAATAAATTGGGGGCATATCCCGTAGCCAGCCCCCAAAAATGTATTAGGTGCAGCAGCAGGGCAGCGGTTAGGTGTTTTTGGAGGTGGTAGCACCACGTGTTTCGTCGATCATTCCAGGCATCAGACAAAAGGGGGCACGTGGCATGTATTCGGTCGGTGACAAAGTGCAATGCAGAAGAGTAGCATGTAGCGTAGGTGCTCCCAAGTTCGGACATTGATTCCTCTCTGGTATGTGGAGAGGGAAGGCGACATGTTATTCTGGTCTACACGGCAGCGCTATAAGGTGGTATCCCCGTCGTGTTTTCCACTTTGACCTGCCTCGAAGGATTTATGCATGATGTGGATCCGATGGATCTTCCCCACCCGCGCACCCACCCACGCCGCATCATCTGCTATCTGCGGGCTCCCTACCAAATGATATGCAGGGCCGTAACGTCCCTCCCATGGTTTCGCTCTTTCAAAAACACGAACGCTTGCTCTTTCGCTTTTCGCAGGCATCGTCGTGATACGATCCGCCAGTGTGGCTTGTGTTGCGGGGTTGTCTCAGCTCTGCACGTGAGTGTCGGGTCCAGGTCCGCGGGCGTGCCAAAGAAAGTTGCGCGAAAATACCAGGTAGTCCTCGGTACATCTCGCCGCGACCGCTGGCGGAAAGTAGCTTACGCTCACATCATGAGGAAACACGTCGTGTTTGTGGTGGACGCATCAAGGTCGATGGAGAGGAGGGACGTGTTCGACCAGGGCGAGCGTAAGCGGAGAATCGACGCTGTCCTGGACTGCTGCTTTGAGTTCATCGAGGTGAGAAGTAATCGCGCATGTCATGTACTTCATAGATACAGAGTGGCGTCCGCAACTTTTTTTGCGAACCCTTCCCGGACTTGCAGCATCACGCTCAGTTCGTACACAGCAGCAGGAGAACACGGGCATGGGGTTCCTTCACCCGCTGTTACTGCTCTCATGTCTCCGAAAGGCTGTGTGCTCTCGGATTCGATGACACTTCGGCCAAGAAACACCCCGAGCTTGAGTGTGCAAGCCCACAGCAGTAATCATGCTGTTATTGGTCCGCACCTCCCCCAGTTGTCACCATGCACACAGCATAGTCTAGCTCTGCTGCTGCACCGTTTCCACCATCGCTTGAGGGTACGCACGCACACCAGTAGGAGATGTGGATCCGAACTAGAGACGGGGTGCGCAGCAGTCAGAACGGTGGCAGACGAGGCTTGGGTCCGATGTACATTCGAATGGAATAATGAAGAACTTTTGTTGTCTTCATAGGCTATTGACAACCGTTCCGATCCCTCTACCCAGACCTTCCACTCCACCTACAGCACCTATTTCAATCGCCGGCGTGGCGTGGTTGACTTGTTTTGGTGGAAGAGACACCTCACCGAAACAAGATCCGCCTGACATATTATTGGAAATTTCTTCGATAGAGATGGATTCGTTGGATCATGCAGTTGCTGATGAAAAAGAAGTAAAATCACAGAAATACCCATTCGTGATACATCCACAGAGGTCGAAAGGGAGGTGCTGAAGGATTCATTCTGCATAATGTACACACATTCATGCAGCACACGTATTGCATACCACAGCAGCAGCATTTAGTAAATAGTTACTGCGGGGCGGTCGGTCTGAGGGGCGGCGTGAACACCCACAAGATGTTCTTGTTTCCATGATGACCACGCGCTGCTGTTGCCCATATGCAATCTTCCCATCACGGAATTGGCAGCACTATTTTTGTGGAACAGGGAGTTTCAACCATCACCTCATGTCTTCACGTCTTTACTGGTACAGCCAGCAGTACCAGTGTACAGCAGTGTACCAGCATATTGTTGTTGTTGTTTCTCACATTAGCTCTGAGCCCGTGGTCTCAAAACCCGGCACATACGACGTCGCGGGAAAAAAAAGAAAATAGGGTACAAACCACTCGGAATAAGAAAACATGATATAAAGGAAAGAACAGGTATCGCACCGACCGTTCGAGAAAAGAGCGCTCGGAAACCGATCAAAATAAAACAAAAACAAAAATAAAGGAGGACGCTTCCCACACCCGCCCAAAGAGAAAATCAAAGGGTAACGTACCAGCACCAGGCACTACGCACCAGGGCATGGGAGTAACGGAGCAAACAGGACAAAGAGGCGGCGGATGGGTAGACAGCCAGACGTACAAAAACAAACGCAACAGCAAAGCGAGATCACGGTACCCAACAGAGCAGAGTAGGCAGGGAGGTCATGAAAAATAGAAACACAGAAACACAGCGCAGAGGCCGAAGGCAATAAAAAGGACATACATAAAGAAGTATTGCATACAACAGGGAGGGAAACAGGGCGCAACAGCATCAGCCGGGTACATAGTTCGCCACAAGTGCTGCCTCGGCCGCCCTACTCGCTTCTACAGCAGTGCCCGGTCGCCGTTTCTTCCCCCCCACCGCCGCTTCCCCGGCTCTCTTTCTCTTCGGTCCTGAGGCCGTACTCTCTGCTTCTGCTTCCCTCGCGCGCTGGCGCTTCGCGGACGCTTCCGCCTCCTGCCGGTGCCATTTCCTCATGAACCATGCCGCCCCGTCCTCGACCTTGTTGTACCACACCTCCGGATCCTTGGCGCTCTCTTTCCATTTACCCCCTTCCTTTTCGTCTCCCATGTTGCATATAACAGCTGGTATATAATAGCGCATTTCGAATAACTTTTGAGAAACTACAACGAAACAGGATTGTGTCGGGCAGTGACACCACGCACGTACAAAGGATATACGCACGTGACACATCCACTGTCCTTTGTTCAGCCCCCCAACCCTTCACGAAAGGAGAAGCCCCGATACGAGGGTTGCGTTGGATGTCGTCCAAAGCGATAGAGCGATCGGCTGCCCGAAGTTACAAGATGTACCTACAAGTTTGAGGGGTACAGGGCTGCATCTCCTCAAGGAATGTTCCGAGAAATGGTATTGTATTCCGACATGGAGACCATCAGGTTCAATTTCCAGGCGGTGCGGGGCGTACTGTAACAGGTTTTCAGGGCCTTCGGTATAGTGATGGTGCACTATTATATATTACACTGCTACAGTAGGTGTCCCGGCATAGTGCCAGTTGAACAGTGCCAAAGTCCGGTATAGTGCCGGTAAATCTTCTTGACACAGACGCAGGCCTGAATAGTGCCAAACCGTCAAAATTGAGGGCTGCCCGCTATGGTGCCGGTTCAGGCACTATGGAACCCGTCAATAGTGCCGGTTCACATCTGCCTCACACAGCCGTTTTTCGCCTCAAGCCTTCCACACGAACAGGATTCGGAGACGGTTTGCCCTCGAGCTACAAGCATTGCTCGATTTCTGTCAGTACGCGTGACGTTTAAAAAAAAATGTCATGGTTTACGATCGACCAAACTCCACCACAGCACCTTCAGCCAATAGGTTGGGATTTCAGTAGTGAGGCGGGCGAAAAGGAAAACGGTGGTGGTGACGAAGAATGTGGAAAGAATATCGAAGGATAGCAGTCATGAATGATGGGGGGGTGTACTCATAGTCGTGCATGCCGTAGTCGTTAGACCATTGACCTCGCATCCCTACAAAGCCGGGACGGAGCACGCCGGGTTCTCACCGGACCAGGCTCTCACATCACCAAGCGCGAAGCGCCGTGAGATATTCGGCGAGTCGCATGAAGGGTGCGCTGCATCCTGCTAAGGGTGTTCGGCATCTTGTGCTTACTTCCTTGCGTACGGATGACAGCTGCGTATGAATTAATTTATTTTCTGGTGCTTTCACTTCCAGAGACAGTTGTTGGCTCTGTGTAACTGCCTCGAGGGTGCTTGACCATTTTAACACAACGTGGTGCGATCATCCCCCTTGCGCGGAGCGAGGGCACCCCGCACAACATGATCTACTCGGCCATCATCATGGTTTCCGCCCAAAAAAATAACAGAGAAAAAAAAAAACGGTAACCTGGTTACCGACACGAAGTGAATTGGCTTGTATTACAACGTCATTGCCAAGCGACGAAAACCCAATCCCGATGG